ATATACTTATACACATGTACATACACACATTCATGCATACATACATATACACAACTTCAAAATAACATAAATTCTCAACCTGTACTGAAAACAGTTTCTGCGTCTCAGCGCCACCAGCTGGTGAGAGGCCGTGACGTCAGTTTGAACCCCGCCCACTGGAACCGGTACTGAAAGCATAATGGAAACACAACCTGTACCGTACCGAGTAGAGTAGAGCCGGGCTGTACCGGCCCGTACCGGTACTAATGGAAAAGGGGCATAAATCAACTCACACAGTATGAAACGCCAGAGAGAACAGATATGTTTTTAGCAGGGATTTGAACACAGGAAGAGAGGTGGCATGCCTAATGTTGGGGGGTAGGTTGTTCCACAGTTTGGGACCCATGACTGAAAACGCCCGATCTCCTCGGAGCTTCAGTCGTGTTTTTGGAACAACCAAAAGCAGCTGATCGGATGATCTCAGAGCCCGAGAGGGAACATATGGTTCCAGTAGCTCAGAGAGGTAGATGGGTGCGAGGCCATTTAGGCGCTTATAGGTCAGGAGGAGAATTTTGAAATCAATCCTAGTTCTCACAGGAAGCCAGTGTAGGGAGGACAGAACTGGTGTGATGTGCTCATACCTCGGTGTACCGGTTAAGAGCCGAGCTGCAGCATTCTGGACGAGCTGTAGCCGTGAGATAGAGGCCTGGCTGACCCCAGCATACAGTGAATTACAATAGTCCAGGCGGGTTGTGATGAATGCATGGACTAGTGTCTCAAGGTCGGGTCTAGACAGCACTGGCTTGAGCTTAGCTACCTGCCGCAGTTGGAAGAAGCTTCTCTGCGGAACCGAACTGATCTGTTTGTCGAACTTAAAATCCGAGTCAAAAACCACTCCGAGGTTTTTAACAGAGTGCTTCAGATACTGGTTGATGCTTCAGCGTACTGGTTCTGTTTTTGTCTTATGCTACTTTTAGTGTTTAGCTACTGTTTTGCTACTTTACTTTTTAGCTAGCCTTCTGCTGTTTTTAGCAACCCTGTTGTTACTTTAGGTTTTAACTAATCTTTTGCCACTTTAAGATTTTAGCCAGCCCTTTTCTACTTTTTATTTTATAGCTACTGTTTAGTTAATATTAGCTTTAAGCTAGCCCTTTGCCACGTTGAGCGCTAACCTTTTTGCTTCTTTTACTTCGAATTTTGCAACTTTAAGTTTTTAGCTGCCATTTTGCCACTTTTAGAGAACCTTCTGCAATATTTAGCGTTTAGCAAGCCTGTTGCAATTTTTAGGCGGCGTTTTCTACATTTGTCTTTTAGCTAGCATTCTGCTCGTTTTAGCTTCAGAACGTAGTTTAAACTTTTTCAGCAGTGATTCATCTCTCCTGTGTTCGCTGTGTTTTTGTAGAAAATACAGTTTTGATAGCTGAAAGGATTTCTGCAGGAAACTAAACACATTCGCAGATTGTTCGTAAACATCGATAACTGCTGCGGCACAAAAACATTCCAGATAAAGTTACTATGCAACGTCCTAAAACATTCCACGGCTTCCATTAGGCGTCGTCTTTTTATAGGGAAGGTTTTATTTATTTCAGCAAGACAATGCCAAACCACCCGAAGTGTTTGAACGAGTTTCTGTTACCTGTAACTTCTTCAGCAGTGATGATCGCTGCTAGGTGAGGTCTTGTTCAAACAGCAGTGGATCGTTTTTTGATCTCGTGTACGTTTTTTATTAAAAACACGCTTGTTTTTCTGGTCAGATTTTAACAAACTAAATGTAAAACGCGTTGTTGTGTATCTTTAAAGGACTCCAGCACGCAGCAGGTGTCGGACTTGACCGTGAACGTCAGCGACCACGTCAACGTCGACCAGATGCGCACGTTTGACGGGTCGGTTTGCAATCCGTTCCAGCTTTCAGAAGAAAACCATCCTCTTGTCGACCACCAGCAGTAATCAGATTTGTTTGTTTGCAGCGTGTTCAAGGACGCAGACAGTTTGTCACAGAGTGTGAAGACTCAGCTGCTGCCCGCCAAGAGGACGCAGACCGAACAGAAAGCAGAGAGGAAGAGCAGGAGGGACGAGGAAGAGGAGGCACAAAGGAGACAGGAGGAGAACAATGACCCCCTCCGCATGCCCAGCAGACACCCCAGCCAGGGAACACGCCCTCACTGGTTTGTGTCGCTTCAAACCATATTTGTAAACCTCACAATGACAGACTTTACAACAATAATCTGAGATTAATTCACAAACTGCTCCCAGAGATTCATCACAGGGTTCCCAGTGATTGGAAATCAGGGAAGATCTGGAAAATGACTTTCACATTTCCAGACATGGAAAACTATTTGAACACTGATTTGATGATACAGTATAATTAATTATCAGGATTGATTGCCGTTTGCACATACCACAGGTTACATTACGCTTCCTGTCATCTCTGAATGCGACTCTTGCGCCACTTAAGGTGCCAAGTTCTGAGCGTTTGGTGTGACGGAAATGTTTCCTGGAATTTCAGGATTTACTGAGAGAAAACTGTTTTCGTGAAATGCTGGGAACCCTGCATCACAGTCTATGGGGGTTAAATAATTTTAACTAAAACTCACTAATGAGCTGTCACTTCCTTACTGGCATCTACTGCTGAACCTCCACTTTCTACCATAGATTATATCGCCGTTCACCGTCATCTGAGTAGAGGTCTTCTTTCCAAATTTTATAACATTTTACTTGTATCCTTAAAAGAAGATAGTCTCTCGTATTTACAAGCATGGAAAACTGATCTGCTGACAGAAATTCCTGAGGATGAATGGAATAACATGTCTACTGGCACAAACTATTAACACGAGGTTTAGATTACTACACTATAAACGGTTATTTAGAAAATATATCACTCCTGTTAAACTTCACCATTTCAATTCAAATATTACGGATACTTGTGTTAAATGTAATACAGACCAGGCTGCTCTTTTCCGTTGTATGTGGCAATGCACGAAGCTTCAAACCTTTTGGAAAGAGGTTACTATGTTCATCTCTCGTTTGGTTGAACAGGATGTGCCAGTGGACAGTAAACTTTGTTTGCTGCACATTTTTCCAGATGACTTTAAAGGACCTACGAAGAGAAAGAAGCTTCTGAGTTTTTGCCTTTTACAGGCTCAACATATGATTCCTCTGACGTGGAGGAACACAGAAAGACCAAAGATAAACGAATAGACTAAATTGTTGAGCAATAACCTGACAATGGAAAAACTGACTTATATAGTGAAAGGGAAGCTTGAAGACTTTAAATATATTTGGTTGCTTTTCCTACATCTTGTCAAACACGGGGACATGTAAACTTATTTATTATTTTTTTATTTTGTTTGAGCGGACAGAGTGAGCTCTAGATTTTCAGGGTGGGGGGCCGGGTTGTAAGTTTTATTTTGTATGTCTCTGTAACATAAATTTATAATAAAAATATTAGGTTGGGAAGAAAACAACTAATGAGCGTGCTGTAACTAACCATACAGCTGATTATTCCTGTTCGATTTGGTTTTTGTAAACATTATTTTTTTATTTTAAGTAAAGTTTTACTTGTTGCGTTTGAACAGTGACGTGAAAAGGTCAAAATTAAAGAGCAGTTTGATGCTTTGTCCTCGAAACGTAAGTTGCTGGAAACTGAACGGTCTGTGTCTGTCGAGCTGCAGGACGGATCGATTCGCTGATTCTCGTGTCCTTCGTCCTCCTGTCTGTGACCCGACATCAGATGACGTCAGCGCTTTGCTGACCTGGTGTCGTCGCCTCCACGGCCGCCTGAAAGACTGAGGGAGTGTCTGAGGAAGAAAAGGACGAGAACTCAGCGACGGATGGAGAGAAAGTCCAGAAAATTACACTCTAGAAGGAGCGAAGGGTGAAACGTAAAATACTGAAGCAGGAGAGGCAGAGACTAAAGTTGAGAGAGCAGAAGGATGGATGGATCATTTGAGCTCTGTTTAAAGATTATTTACAATAAAATAACAACACGTTTGCTTTAACTGGAGTAGTTTGCATCCACTTAACTAAAATCCTGGAGGGATTTGGAATATTTTTGTCTTCAAGAAGGATTTCCCGTTTATTGTCAGCCATCGTATCGCTTCTCAAATGTCTGCAGTTTAGGAGTAAATCCGCTCTGAAAACGTCATCGCTGCACCAAGGCTGAATAAATGTCCCGCTGTGTTTGTGTTTCTTCGACGTGCTTCGTCTCAAACGGTCCGTTTCATCTTCAGCTTGTTGTTAACGTTCGAGCCAGTACAGGAGCAGACTGGACCTGCTGGTTTTATTTCACTGTCCCTTTCACACGTTTACTGGTCAACTTTCATTAACAGCAGAAAACAAACTCAAACATATTCAACCTATTCACTGATTAGATGCCACTTGCAGCCTAAATTAATTAAATGAGAATAAATATGCCTCATATTAGATTCTGAAATTAAAAACGTCTAATATTAACCAACCAAAATATTTTAAGCAAAATAAAAGCTGCAATTTTTTAAATTCTCATTGAAAACTTTGTGGATTGCTGCTGTGAATATTTATCTGATGACCCATTAAAATGCTCTGCATTGCTCCAAACATTACATTTAAAGTGAACTAAACGCTGCAGTTTGTTAGATTTTGTGTTTTATTTCATTTGTAAGATAAATAAATTGTTTGTTTTTTTAGGCCTGACTCTTTAGATCCTCCATTTGCAGCCGGAGGAGCTGATCTGGATCCTTTTGGGTGAGTTTCAACACCCGTTATTGTTAGAAACTTACATTTTTCATTATTCTGAGCTTTTTTGGGCGTTTTCATGGAGAAGAAGTCGCTGATGTTAAACACGGGCTGTAATCTGATGAATACACTGTGGGAAAAACACAAACAACAAAATATATGAAGTAAATTTCATGAATATGACACTTTAAAAACAGTAAATTAAAACAGAGTTTGCAGTTTTGTAATCTGGGTTTAGCCGCATTAACAAAGTTTATTTTTAGTATTTTCCATTTTAAGCGGTTTGTCTCTCGTTTTTTTTTTTTTCTGTCGCTCTTTCTTAAAGCTCTTTGTAACATCTGGTGCATAACTTAAACCACGTATTGATTTACAATCTCTAAAACAAACAAATCTCTGCTGGTGGGATTACAGATTAGTCTGTAATTTGTCTCAGAATTTATTTTCAAGCTGTGTTTAATCTGTTAGTGTAACTTTGTTTTTTTTCTCCTGTTATATTTTAGTGTATTTCAGTGGTTTAAACTCATTAAAAACACAATAACACAATGGTTAATGATCTTAGAGGAAAAACTAACTGACCCCCCCCCCCCCCCCCAGGTCTCGTGGTGGTGGCGGGATGATAGTTGACCCGCTGAGGTCGGGGTACCCTCGCGCCGGCTTCGACCCATCCAGCGGCATACCAGACATCCTGCCTCCAGGAGCCGTCCCCCCGGGAGCTCGCTTCGACCCGTTTGGACCCGTCGGACGTCACAGACCGGGGTGAGACACAAAGACTCCGTGTGTCCTGATTCACTCAGCGAGGACAAAGACAAACAGGAAACAGATCAAACTCTGTCTCTCCTGTTTCTGTTTTAACTGAATTAAAACCTTTTTATCACTTGGTGGTGACAACGACAACATTCTGTTTGTTTCAGGCCTGATCCCGACCACATGCCCCCGCCTGGATACGACGACATGTTCATGTAGCACCAGCAACATTTCCTGCTAACGCCTCCCCTGAAAACTGATCCAGTTTAAACAAACTTTGTATTTTCATCCTTTTTATTTCCTCGTGTCTCATCTGAAATAAACTCCTGGATAAAAATACACAAAACAACCTGGTGGTGATGTAAAATCTAATTAAAGTCTTTGTGAACGTTACTGGGACCTTTATTTTGAACTCCTCATCTCAAACTGACTTCTTGTTGTTTTAAACTCACATTTGAAGATGCATTTTAAAATGACCTCGTTGTGAAGTTGAGGTTTTTTTTTTTCTAAAATAAAATTAGAAAAATGACACCACATTCAATTTATCTAAACTAAAAGTAAAACGAGTGAACACATTTGCATCATCCTATTGTCTGCATCCTGTTCTTAAGACAAAACAGAGTTTTATTTGGATTATTTTATATTCCTGTTAAATATAACGAGTTGTTTCTGTTTGGGTCATTATAGTTGAACATTGTTTTTTTTTTTTAACCAAAACTCTTAATAAAAATTATTTCACACGCCGTTTTTTTTTTTATTCTTTTTTCCGACAAACTAGAAATGAGCTACAATTTCTTTTATCGTTTTTTTTTTATTACTTTATTTGTTAAATAATAGCCTTAAAAATCTCACGGCCTCGTTGTCCCAGACGAGATCAGATAGAACTTCATTGATCCTGCAGGAAATTGTTGTGCCAGAGTTTCAGATAAATCTCATCTCTTCCTTCCCTTCGGGCTGTTTTCGCCTCAGCAGGTGACAAACACGAGTCTGCGTTTCGTCCAGGTCAGCTGTGAACGCAGAAGCAGAAACCTCTGATGGGTCACTGCTTCTAGGACGAGGACTAAATAAAAAGTGAGCGGAATGTGTCAGAAGCTCAACAGGAAATAACGAAATGCTTAAAAATGTCTAAAGCAAAATGTTGCCAGGAGATCATGATCATGTTTTTATACTTGCAGTCCTCATAAAACAAAATTAGGATTTGGTTTCGTTTATAAACTTTTTATTTTTATGTAGAGCAGTGGTTCTCAAACTGGGGTCCTCGGACCCCTGAGGGTCAGCGAGCTGGTGCTTGGGGTCCACCCCACCAAAAAAAAACCCAAAAAGTATAAATAAATATATTTTTCATGAGCACATAGTTGTTTAACAACCTGTTAAAATACACTAAAATGAAGGAAATCACATGTACTTTATTCAAAATTTTCTGGGGGAGGACCCTCAGATTACCCCCCCTCTATATTTGTGCAGTTTACAAATTAAGTCCTGTTACTTGATCTAACTACTAGTTATGATTCTCTCAGTTTTCTGTAATAATTTGAAGAAGTGGCAATATATTTATTGTGTCATTGTAAGAATAGGTCAAATGGTTTTTAATATTGTTAATTTTCTCAAAACTGTAATTTCTGGAAGTTGAAATTAAAATTTTGTTAATTAAATGTCTCAAATGAAAAAGTACCCCATGTTTAAAAGTATAAAAATTGTATTAACAATATCAAAGAACAGGTCTGAAGTATTTATGTTACACAAATATTTCCATTTAATTAAAGAGGCACATTGAAGAAAATTATTTAATAAACATGAAGGTTATGCGGGGGTCCCTGAACACAAAACGTTTGAGAACCCCTGAGTCAACCATCTTCTTAAGACGTTGGATTTTAATGCAGCTGATGGTGAATTGTGTCTGATTTTGCTTTTAGAGCAGAATAATCTGACAGAACTAGTTGGTTTTTGTACAAACCAGATTCCAAAAAAGTTGGGACACTAAACAAATTGTGAATAAAAACTGAATGCAATGATGTGGAGGTGCCAACATCTAATATTTTATTCAGAATAGAACACAAATCACAGATCAAAAGTTTAAACTGAGAGAATGTATCATTTTAAGGGAAAAATCTGTTGTTTCCAAATTTCATGGCCTCAACAAATCCCAAAAAAGTTGGGACAAGTCCATTTTTCCCACTGTGTGGCATCCCCCTTTCTTCTTACAACACTCAACAGACGTCTGGGGACAGAGGAGACCAGTTTCTCCAGTTTAGAAACAGGAATGCTCTCCCATTAATGGTGCCTTTCCAGACATGCAAGCTGCCCATGCCACAAGCGCTCATGCAACCCCATACCATCAGTGATGCAGGCTTCTGAACGGAGCGTTGATAACAACTTGGGCTATCCTTGTCCTCTCTGGTCCGGATGACATGGCGTCCCAGTGTTCCATAAAGAACTTCAAATCGTGACTCATCTGACCACAGAACAGTCTTCCATTTTGCCACACTCCATTTTAAATGACCCCTGACCCAGTGCAAACGTCTGAGCTCGTGGAGCTTGCTTAGAAATGGCTTCCTCTTTGCACTGTAGAGTTTCAGCTGGCAACGGCGGATGGCACGGTGGATTGTGTTCACTGACAATGCTTTCTGGAAGTATTCCTGAGAACATTCTTTTATTTCCTTGACAGTGGCATTCCTGTTTGAGATGCAGTGACGTTTAAGGGCCCGGAGATCACGAGCATCCAGTAGAGTTTTACGGCCTTGACCCTTACGCACAGCGATTGTTCCAGATTCTCTGAATCTTTTGATGATGTTATGCACGGTTGATGATGATAACTTAAAAGTCTTTGCTATTTTACGCTGGGTAACACCATTCTGGTTTTGATGAACTATCTTTCTGCGCAACAATGGTGGAATTGGTGATCCTCTTACCATCTTGGCTTCTGAGAGACACTGACACTCTGAGAAGCTCTTTTTATACCCAGTCATGTTGTCAATGGACCTAATTAGTGTTAATTGGTCTTCCAGCTGTTCGTTATATGATCGTTTTCCTTTTTCCAGCCACTCAACATATTTTTCCTTTCAAATGTTACATTTACTCAGATTAAACTTTTGATCTGTCATCTATGTTATATTATGAATAAAATATTGACATTTGCCATCTCCACATCATAGAAAACAAATCAAAGCTGAATGTTGACACAGAAATGGGGCCTCAGCTTCTCGAGTCCAGCTGAAACAAATTAGAACTTGTGTGGATCTGTGACTTTCGTTGGACAGCGGTTGGAGCCGTCGCCTCACAACGAGAAGACCCAAGGTTTGCTCCCCACCTGGAGCCTTTCTTTGTGAACGTGGTCTCGTGGCCTCTCGACTGTGGGCAGCAGCTCTCCACATCCCTGCACGGAAAAGTGCGTAAAGAAAATGGATGGATACGACAAACAACATGGAAACTATTACTTCGATTTATCGCCACGGGAAAAGCTTATTTTAAGGAAGCAGCTCTCATCCTATTCTCTGCAACGCATGAAAAACACTTTTTTTTTACAAGAGAATGATAGAAAGACAAAGAAGGAGGATTCATCAACTGTAATCTAGGTTTACCTCACCAGGTGGAGCTCCTGTCCTAACAAGGCCATTCAAATCATTATCTTGATGCTGGTTCTGAGCAGAATACACCTTTGTTCATGCAGGGGTGTCAAACTCATTCAGGACAGTGGGACAAAATTAACAACTTGGTTCGAGCAACATGTAAATTTCAGTCAATAAATTGACTCATACCAAATATTCAACATATTTTCTTGTGTAGCCCCTTTACCCTCCGTACTAGGTAAGGGCCTCCTAGATTCTTATATGTAGCATTAAAGACTTAACTCGTTTAATTTGCTGAACTTCAAGTTGAGCATATCCTTTAACACACTCAATTATCTCCTAATTTCCTTTAGGAAAATGCAACAGACCTGAAAACCAACGTGAAGTTATTCAGAGACTGCTCCATGCCCTCACATTGAGTTGAAGATTTACAGTGACATCTGACTACAGATGCAGTTTTGTGTAAGGTGTTCAATGTTTAAAGACGCATTAAGTAAACTGAGTTCACATTTACCTTACGATTTGGTTATTTTTAGTTTAACAGAGCGTGTGAGTGTGTTCACGGTGTGTATTGAAAGGAAATTAGGAGATAATTGAGTGTGTTCAAGGATATGTTCAACTTGAAGTTCAGCGAATTAAACGAGTTAAGTCCTTAATGCTACATATAAGAATCTAGGAGGTCCGTACCTAGTACTGAGGTGGGCTACACTTGGTTGCAGGTTCATCAATAAGAGTTTGATCGGTCTCATTTGACTTTCTTTGTTGCTCGTTCCACATCAAAATCAAAGATTTCTGAAAAATCAATCAAATAAATAACTGATGTATTTATTATTAGTAGTATTTATTATGAGAAACTATAAAAATATTTTACATTTACAATATCAGGCGGCCGGAGAGCAGAGGACCGAGGACCAGATTTGGCCCGCTGGCCACGAGTTTGACACATGTGATTCTTTTAATTATTTATTTCCAAAATAAAAGTGAGCCGGAGAGAAAAGGCACCGGTAAATAGTTTTGATTCAGTCGCAGTAAATGTGTTGATCTAGAATACATTTTAGATCAATACATATTAGGTCTATGATCTAATAAGTTCTTGTTTTTAGTGTCTTATTTTGTTTTATCTGGCGCCTGGATTTGATAGTTTTTTTTATAACGCTACTTTTTATTTTAATTGCTTTTTATCGTCTCTAAAACAGAACTCTCTGGAAAATGAGTCCTCGTGACTCAGTGAGACTACCTGTATAAATAGAAGTTCAATAAAAAATAAAAATCTGAACATCGCAGCTTGTGTTCCCCGCTGTTTTTAATTAAATTTAAGATCAGAGGAATTTTGTGTGAGTCAGCAGGTGGGAGCAGCTGATGCACCTGAGCCATCGGCCGTGACTGAACGTTTCTGTCATCACGACTCATCTCTGAACACAAACACAATGAAATGAACAGAAAGGGAGAGGACAAACACAAAAAGGAAGCAAAGCAGGAAAAAAAAAGTTGTTTTGAATTTATATCTGAAGATAAAATAAATAAATAAGATAAAAATGTCAAATCAATTACGCTAAAAACAACTGAGAGCAACCAACACAGAAGTGATGGTCAACGTTGAAGCCTAATAAATAAAAACATAAAATAAAAAACTGCATGACGTAGCATTTTATTTTTTGATATTCACTAAGATTTGCTTTATTTTCAATGATAAATTAATTGATTAATGAATTTAAAATTATTTGACCAGCATAATAAAATAAATTTGTCTTGATGTTTTGATTCTCTTATCATACGTTTTATT